AAGAACCGCCACACGGCCGTGTTGTATCGTTCGAATGCCGATGATGAAAGAGGAAGAGATAGGTAAACAGATTAGATGCGCGAGGAGAAAGACGGCGAGCGAACGCGTGACAAGCATCGCGACCCGGCCCGGTTATCTGCATACACGTGTTGCATGCAGTACGCTGTGTAGCAACCACGGAGGGGAAAATAATTATCGTGGAACACAGAGGGGCCGTTGTTCGCCACGAGATTTAATCGGCCCTGTGCCTTCTTCGAGCCGTTCGAGAGGAATCGCCTTTATTTTCGCCTTTCTCGATTGCCTCTCTCTCTCTCTCTCTCTCTCTCTCTCTCTCTCTCTCTCCTTCTCTCTGCTCTCACTTTGCTCTCNTCGAGAGCCGGCTCTGCCGGGGAAGAAGGTGAGCGAGAAACGAAACCGGCGAGCGCAGTTTCTCAGAAATCATTACTGGTTGCATCACCGGCAATTCGTACGACGATTAATTTATATAGGCGCGAGTTGCGTGCACGATGCACCGTAATCGATCGCCGACAAACGAGTTCGCTGTTCTTGCACGGCCGGCCTTCCCTCCCCCTCCCCCTTTTTTTATCGTGGATCTGAAATCGCGAAACTATACCACGAACCGAATCACGAATCAAACACCAGAGTTGGGCAGATTTTTAATCCGATGACGGTAAAAGGATGAAGACTAACGAATAAAATTATATACGACACTGTCGAATAAATCGTATCAAAAGTTAGCTAGGTAAAAATTTATTGGAATATAAATTCATTGGAATAAGATTTGATTCATGCGGAAAAATAATTGATTTCAATAAAAATGATAGAACATAAAGTATTTTTTTCATAGTTTATCGATTAATTTCTTCCATATTATTTGTTCGAATTATTCAATTAAAGAATCATTCGAAAAAAGAATCATTCCAATAAATATATAGAATAATTTATGAATATATGATATTAAATATTATAAATATTAATATAATATAAGTGAATATATAATATATTAAATTATGAATTATTTGAACAAGAATTCATTCGGATAACTATTTTAGATCAATATTTATTAGAAACAATCCAAATAACGTTCAACTCAATTAAAAACATTCTGTCTCGTCATTACCAGCCCGCGGATTTTTATGCAAAATTAAAATTGTCCACATCAATCGCAAGACACAGAAGCTGCAGAAACATTTATTTTTTCTCTTAATAATTTTGATAATTTCTGTCATAATTGCATAAAACGCGCAGTCCAGTCATTATCCTCTTCCCTTGAGAGCAGTAATATTAGCGACTGCTAGCTTCATGCGACGTCCCCGTATAAAATCCCTCTGTATTTCGTTCCAGCAAAGGGTTCAATCCGTTCCATAAACAAATAAAGAAATGTTACATCCGCCGTTCCACCCACAGTTTTTTTTCGGAAACGAGCGCGTAGGAACCGAAAAGAATTCCGCGGCGCGGTGTGGGAGAAAGGTTTTTGCATTTTTCGCTGTGGGCGATTTTTTCATCCCCCGGGCAGTGGGCGGATGGGGAAAACGCGTGTCGAGTATTCCTCAGCGTTCGATTGTAGTTTTTGTCCGTCGATTGGCCGGCGTCCACGTTCGGTCGCCGGCGAACTCGGACGTTCGATCACGTAGCCGAACGCTGCGCCGAGGAACGAAGAACCGCCACACGGCCGTGTTGTATCGTTCGAATGCCGATGATGAAAGAGGAAGAGATAGGTAAACAGATTAGATGCGCGAGGAGAAAGACGGCGAGCGAACGCGTGACAAGCATCGCGACCCGGCCCGGTTATCTGCATACACGTGTTGCATGCAGTACGCTGTGTAGCAACCACGGAGGGGAAAATAATTATCGTGGAACACAGAGGGGCCGTTGTTCGCCACGAGATTTAATCGGCCCTGTGCCTTCTTCGAGCCGTTCGAGAGGAATCGCCTTTATTTTCGCCTTTCTCGATTGCCTCTCTCTCTCTCTCTCTCTCTCTCTCTCTCTCTCTCTCTCCTTCTCTCTGCTCTCACTTTGCTCTCTTTGCTCACTCCACTTTCCACATTCCGAGTGGACGATCGTTCGGTAATTGCAGATGAATAATCTCGCCCGCAGGTAGCAGACGATCGATACGTAAACCAGAAACGAACGTTTCATTCAGCGCCGCTCGCGCTTATCAGCTGATCGGACCGCTTATCGGTTGGATCCGCGGTCTTTCGAGTCGTCATCCTCTCGAACGCTTCTTCGTAATCGATTTTCTACGAACGTTAGACGTTATTAATAGACGGCATACTGAAAAAGACTCGAGCGCGCGCCGAATACATTAGATCGACTCGCAAATAATTCTCGTTTCCAAGAAGATACTGCAAATGTATTTATCATCCGGATGACTCATCGTGAGCAAGCCGGCGAGAAACGACGACGAGGTGTCGCAAATAGTGACGAACATGTAATCGAGATGTTGATTTTATTTACTGATCTGTTAAATTTGTGAGAAAAATTTGTAAATCAAAAGATCCAGAGGCTTGGAGTAGGGGTACAAGGTCGAATAAAAAATAGTAAGTTGACCGAGGTTCCTTGAATTACTGCGTTCAATTTATACAGACTATAATAACGTTGCGAATTAACCTTAAAGAGAACACGATCGGGCCGAGCGTGATTGTATATCCATGAGTTGTCCTATGTTTCTGAACATGGAGAAGTTCTCTGGTTCCGAGACGAAATATCGGAGCGTTTAGTTGAAGCTCCTCGAAAATCGCTGGAAAATCACGGTATCGAGGAATCGATGAGCGAAATGTTCTGTGCCCTGGGGATCGTGCGACGATTTCACGGGGCTTCCAGATTCCACGGCGGGGTCGTAGAGTGACGGACACGGAGTCGTCTATCTCCGATTCACGAGTGTCTCTGGGTTAGGTTGGTGGAAGGGTGGACTGGTTAGGCAGCGGGGCGACCGTGGAATGGAATGAATTAGAGGGGAAAGAGCGATGAGAGAAAGAGTAGGAGAGCCCAGCGCGTAAAAGGGACGGCGGCGAGCGAGTGTAGGAGAGAAAGAAAATCAGACAGAGGGAGCGAGAGAGAGAGTGAGAGAGAGAGAGAGAGGGGGAGGCGGTGTGAGAGAGAGAATGATCGAGGGGGTGGGGGCCGAGAGGAGAGGAGAGCGTAGGTACGGCGAGGTTAGACCGTTGCATCGCGTCGCTGCGCTGTCGTTGCATTGCGTACTGTTGCGTCACTCTCTTGTGCAGCGTTTCATTCAACTTGGAGTCCGTCGCGCGAAGGTCAAGCGGTCGTCGTTGCCTGTCGCAGCCTGTCGCTGCAGCGACACGATGCAGCGACGCGACGCATCCTGCGACTGTCCTCCTCGACTTCTCCCCTGTCTTTTCGCTTTCAGTTACGTCTTCTGTCTTCTCCGAGTGACCGTTTCTCTTCCTCCCCCTCGAGCAGTTTCCAAAACGCAGGGACCACCTAGCAGACTTTTAAACGGAGCTACAGGCTCGACTTCGATTTCGTCTCGATCGCGTTTGCGGTTTCTCTTCTCTCCGTTCTCCGCTTTCTTCAGCGTCTTTGTACCCAGCAGCCTGGCCTCCCCTCTCCCTCCGGCCGCCCCTTGCCCGCGAGATCCCACCGGTCATCCGTCACGGCTCTCCTCCGTCTCCGTCCAGCCCGGGCGGACCTCTTTCTCTCTCTCTCTCTCTCTCTCTCTCCCTTTCTCTCGCTCTCTCCTTCTCCATCGTTCCTCGTTTCTTATTCACCGATTTCGTTTCTCCTTCCCGGCCGACTCTTTCACGTCCGCGCGGCTCACCCCCTTTGTCGTTCCAGTGGCCATTCTCCTCGCCCCCCCTCCCCCGCTGCTCTTTTTCCGCTGTTCTCCCCTTCCGGCACGTCAGCTTCAACAGGTTCACCGTCCATTCATGCCTCCGCAGAGACCGCGTCCTTCTCGCGACTCTTTGATCTAGCACGGTGAGATCGCGACCTCCTCCCTCGGCTTCGATCCTCCTCCGATCTTTATCCGGACCCGATCCCCATTACCGGGAGCTTAGATTCGGTGCCTCGCGATCCCCCGCGATCGCCGCGATCTTCTGCCACTGTATCTCGAAGGGCACGTCGAACGGTTTCGCGGTGGAGAAAATTCATTTTCGTCGAAATGCAGCGTCACGATTTTCAATTTTATAGGGGTAGTGGGGGCCGGTTACTGTTCCGTGACCAATTACTGTGGTGTTTCCGTTTGTTCTTACGGCATAGTTAACTTGATATTCATCGAAGACGTGTTCCATTTTTTATTCTTTTATTTCATCCGATTTTGAGAAACGAATCTTTCAATTCTTTCTTTTTTCTTTACTGTCTCGTTCGACACACAAATATAAGGTTAAATTATTACACTGTGGTTCTTCGAGCGAGACAAAAATTCGACGCATCTGTTACAAGAAACAGAAGTAACTTAGACGTTTTATTCTTTGTTTAATCGTTTTAGTCGGTCGGATGTAGTATGTCGATATTATTCAATTTTTCGAGTATTTATATTGTTTCAAGTTACAGGTATCCAATTTTGCTATATAAATGCATAATAGCCGCGGTGGACTAATTATGCCCATAAATGCATAATAACCGCAGTCGACTAATTATGCCCATAAATGCATAATAACCACAGTGTACTAATTATGCCCGAAAGCAATTGGTCACCTAACAGTAATCGGCAGCACCGCTACCCTACTTGTGCTCCAGGTTTAAGGTCGTCTAATAAACTGAACTCTACGAGAAAGCCGTTCCTTCTGGCAATTGCTCCCATTCGGTGAAGTTAGAAAAATGAGATCGCTAAAGAAATTTGTACAACCAAAGATTTGCAAATTGGTACCGCAGTGAAATTGACTAGCTGCATCGACCTGCTCGTATCGTCGGAGACAGTTTGATGTCCCTGTAGGAAACGTTCCGATCTCGCCACGAAAAGACCAGTGGCATCGTAGAGATTTCCGTCGTGGTAGAGGCGAAGCAGAACGGATTAAAAGTTGGTGGTTTTATTTCAGCGCGATGCTAGAGGCGTGGGCAGCTATCTGGGAGGCGGCGGCATTAACGACGGCGGCGGCATGGTGACGGTTATGGCGAAGCTGATGAAACAGGAGCTGGCCTCCGACGCGGAGGAAGAGGGCCTGGTGCCTGCCCTCTCCGGCAGGTTCACCTCGATGCGGAAGGTGCCCTCTCTCTCCGACCTGTCCGATCCCGAGAGCTCCCTGGGTGAGTTTTTATCCGACTATGGTTGTTCTGGGCCGCGGCCCGGCGCGCGGACCGTCGCGGGCTTACGGATCGCTGGAGATCACCGCTCGTAAATTTGCTAAGTGTCGATGCCGGGTTCTTGCTCGTTAGACCCTCGATCCGCGCCAGCGATCTCTCATTGCGCCGTTTCGATCGACGATGTCCTTTTCCCCGTCGGACTTTTCATCGTTTTTGCGGCGTTCGGAGCTTGAAAATTCTTGATTAACCCCGTGCCTTGCGATTTATCTTCGACGGAACGTGCGTGTGCGGACAATTTAATTTGGCGCGGCCCTGTGCGAGGCGTTGTCACAAAATAAAACGGAAATATTTCTGTTTTTATTTAATGCACGTTGCTTGAACAGATTACATCATAGAAAAGTTCTTGATAAAAATTGGCCAACTTTGACTGGCGATAACTCCGCGAAAAATCATCGCAGGATGATTACTTTTGTTTAAAAATTAGAGTTTGGAATGTCTTCTTTAAGACAATGTTTCTCGATTTTAAATTTAATGCACTTTTTATTACTGTAACTCGTTAAATGCGAGGACATGTTTGTGAGATTGAAGATTGTTAAGTTCGACGAAATGCGCGGATTCTGCAAAGTTTGTTTCGGAGATGCCGTTTATAGCCGAATGAGGTTTGATCCTTCCCCCTTGATATAAAAAAAGAAAAACATGGCTGCGATTTTTTGGCGCAATCACCGAGCATTGGCTCACATGGTCTCACATTTAAAGGGTTATAGTGACGAGGGTGCTTCAAACTTAAAATCCAGATATATTATCTTAAAGTAGAAGTTTCGTGCTTTAAAAAAGAAATCATAATTCTACGATGATAACCAATTTTCCTGTACCTATTATAATTTTTTTTTGGACAGCATATTTGTATCAATGTTGGCATTATTTCATTTATAATAGAACAGGTCAATAAAACAATGTCAATATTAAATAACAATTGAAATGAAGTTACGCGAAGGTTGAAATAAGTTAGAATGAAATTAAGAAAACAATTCTAAACATAATTAATATTATTGTGAACAGAATTTAAAAATTATTTACATTTCTTTTTCAATTATCGCTTATAATAATTCGTTATTACCACAGTGACACAAATTTAGATAGAATAAAAAGCAAGAGTATGCCTACACATTATAATAATTTTTGATTTAACAGTTAGTAGAAATTTACATCGTTTTTAAACATTTAAGTATACGGCGGCCGTCACAAATTCGAGTTCGGCACGGGAAATGTTTGCGGGCGCGGCTCGTCATTTCCAGCCAAGGGGTTAAACTGCGCCACCTGCGTTAGGCACACCGCGAATAATAGAATCGTTTCGATCGGTGACTCCAGCTCCGGGAACTCGCGGGGCTCGGCGCGAGTAATCGCGCGTTCATCGAAACAACTTGGCGGATCCGACGGCAGCGTCGCCATTGGCCGCGGCATCGAGTGTTGGCGTGAGAAAATTGCATGCTCCCGCGTGTGTTTACCCGGCCCGGGGTCTAGCAATCGCCGAGGCAAATGTTTCAATTAGCCGCGTGCACGGCCATTGTAGTTTTAGCGCGCCACTACATACCTATCGCGCCCGGCGAAGGGGGCCCGTTTCGAGGCCCGAGCCGTGCCCCTCCCACCCGCTCGCTTTCGATTGCTTTAATTCATCGTGCGTTTTACCACCGAAGCGAGAAGGGAGGGGGAACGCTCGGTTGACACGGACCGCTGAATTTCCCGCAGTCCTAAAAGCACGCGAGAAGTCCACTGTTTTTACCCTTGTCCCCGGCCCGATTACGAGCCACGAACGCGTAACAGACTTCCGGGCGACGCCTTGTAATTCTAATCCCTCTGTTTATTAGCGTAGATTTATTCTTGACCCCGTGGACACGTGGCCGTGCTCTTTTGTAGACGCGATCCTCGACACGATTCGAGCTTCTTTCTAGTGGACGCTTTTAACAAGAGCTACCGATAGTACTTTATAAATAAAACACGCTTAAATTTGAAAAATTTAACGAAATTGTATTGTATATTTTGGTATCACAGTTGGTTGGTCGAGTGCAAAAAGAGTTTGAATGGTCATTTAGCTGATATTGCATTTCATACGTAATAGCAAACTGTGATACCAAAATATACGATACAATTTCGTTAAATTTTTCAAACTTAAGCGTGTTTTATTTGCAAAGTATTATCGGTAGCCCTTGTTAAAAGCGTCCATTACAAAACAGCTCGAATCGTGTCGAGGATTGCGTCTACAAAAGAGCACGTATGAAATGCAATATCAGCAAATGACCATCCAAACTCTTTTTGCACTCGACCAACCCTTTCTCTAAATTTTTTATGGCAACCTCGCACAACGACTGGATGATGTTTTCCAGTTTATCTGGTGGTTTGTCTATCGTGCCAAAAGTTGCAATGAAAGTTTGCCCAAAATTTCTTAAATTCAAACGCGTTTCATCCGCCAGAAGCTGCATCGGTGGCTCTCGTTGAAAGACCTTTTAGCTCGAAACGCGATTCGCGATTACGAGCGGACTCGTCAGTTTTTGCTGGCAATAAACAAGAGCAGACAGACGGACGAGTGACTTCGGTTGAAATATTTTAGGCGAGAGAAATAACATGTTTACGACAGAAAACGTTACGGCAGAAGCGAGTTCTTTATCGCGGGAAAGAAGCGTCGACTCGGAAAAAATTCTAGTATCAGCTTTTCGCGAGCACGGTTGAAACACGATCGATCCGCGGCGCGGCCGATGTAGCGTCCTGTTAACCGTTGGGATTGTGACACTAAAAAGCGCACTTACATCGAGTGACGCTTGCATAATATGAGCGCTGGCTGCATAAGCACTTACTCGTGTATAACTTGTCCGATTAGATCGGGCAGGCCGGCTCGCACGGGGCGCTTGCGAGTTGCAGCCGCGATTTTAAAATGCAGCGCCCGCGGCGGAAGGAAATGCCACATTTTTTCGCGTTTCTCATGAAAATCAGCCGGTGAACAGGTAGGTCAGTAGCTGAACTGATTTTTCTTTATAACATCGTTAATAGTCGGCTCGTAATCCCTTTCATTCTTTCATACGTTCACTTGTATGTAATATCTAGAACGGTACGATAAATTTTCCAATTTTTAGGACTATTCTTTTTAGAACAAACCACACACGGGAACAAGATTATTGCGTTTTAAAAAAATGTTCGAATATTGTTCGCGAGGGGTTGTATTGTCGCGTTACCGTCACCGTAAGGATATAATAATATTATGTATATAAATAAATGAGATATTGCTACAATATCATGACGGAAAAATAGTTCTTCATTACGAGTGTGATTACAAATATTATATAAAACAATATAATTTATTTATACATACAATATATATACAAATCTTTATTTGTATAAATATTTTATACATGTAGTATTTATATATTATATATAATAAGATAATACTTATAATCACACACTCGTAACAGAAAACTATTTTCCCGTCAATTGAATAAATTAAATTAAATGTCCACGCCGCGAGAATCTTCCTGAAAGTTCCGAATATCCGGACGATCGTAAATTACCAAGCGGTAATCGATCCGGACACCGCACAAAGACTCGCGAAAAATTGCTCCGCCGGATTTGCATACAATTCCCTCGAAACTCGAGGCGCTGTTCCTTAGAGAAGCAGAGAGAGAGAGAGAGAAAGAATGAATTCCATGGGTGCTAGCTCTTGCACGGTGACCTATAGAGACAGGGAACAAGAGGTACGATCGAATCGGAATCGTTTCGAAGGTAACCTATGCCGACGTTTCTCCCATGTCATCCGATCCAGCGATTTCGCGACGTGGAAACGCGACGAGTCCGCGACCGGTCGTCATCTCTAATTGGACCCGTCGCGTGTACCAGACTCTGTTGCAGCTAATTAACGCCTTTCCACCGGTGACAATTAGTTGTGGGCCGCGACTTGGGCGGATCTTGGACGCACGGGATCGTCGATCCCTTAACCTTCTGACCGGCCGATTTAATCCACGTGCTTACTTACCGCGCGTGTCTCGAGCGAATCGTCCAAATATCTGTTATTTCAAGAAATACATAGTTTAAAGGAATTCGTACGATGGCCGGGTATATTTTCGATCCATGCACGAATAGAGAGGAATCTCTGGGTCACGCTCAAATTGTGATTGATAACGCCTTCGAAGCTTGTCTACAGCTGTTCTTAACACCTCGCGTTAAGATTCCTTTCGTGACTGCGTTATTTAGCAATTTCTAGTCCTTAAATTTTCTATAATAATAGTATTATCTTTATTATATTGTACTTATATTATAATAAAAGAATAATAATTGGTTATAACAATTGATTTACTGACCAACTGGAGGAGATTCTCTGCGTTACAATAATATGACAATACGTCGCACAAGTAGCATATAAAAAAAAATAAAAAAAGGGGCAGCGATACACTAGGAAAAAATATAAAAGAAAATGAGTGATCAAGATAATTAAATTAATTGAAAAGTGAAGAAAGTAATAGAGAATAATATAGCAAGAGATCATTAAAATAACAAAAAATAAGATCGCTATTAAAAGTATTATGATATTATTATTACTAGCCTATAAGCGGTCCGGTTTGTTTTTCATGGAAAATTGCAGTGCGCGTTTTAACGCAAAGGCTTCTGGTGTTATTCAAAGATACGGATTGAGCAAGCCAATGATCGATGGTCGCGTTCGCCATCCACCGACGTAAAATTACGTCCTTGCGAGAGTGGAAGGTGTTCGCGGTGGCCGTATGTGGGCAAGGTGACGCCCGACGCGTTAAAAAGGATTCCGATGCGAGATGGGTTGCACAGGCAGCCCACGTTTGCAGTATTTTATTATACCAGCGCCTATTGTCTCGACCGAACGCGACGCGGCACGACTCGTCGCCGGCGAAGAAAGGAACACAGCGTTCACCTTGGCAATGGGCAACTCGGACGGTGGTTGCAATTGCGTCAATGCACGCGTCGTCTGCCGGCAATTAATATGCGCCGTG